TTCAAACATTTATACAAAATGGCCTATGATACTTTTGCAAATGATTCATCGAGCTTGCATGATAAGGAGAAAAAATGTTTCCCTATGAGGACACAATGCCGTGTGTTACAATGTCTTCTTTTGTCACCGTAAATTGACTGGATGGTGTATCACACATTATCGTTAATGGTCATTCCTTAAAAAGTAAACATTTGATATATTTTATATATGCAATAATATAAGCTTTTATGCGACTTTATAAATATTCAAAATGTGCAATGTCCAAACAAGTCATAGAATATTTTTCCATCATGTTACTGTCAACTGAGAAAATTAATGATTGTAAATGTTCCCTTCTTTTAAAATGTATCTTCAATGTCATCTGTGTCCAATTCGGTAAGAAAATAATCAAAATGAACCTGCAATACTCACTCGGTCAGAAAATCCTCAAAATGAAGCTGTAATCCTCAATGTTTTTAACAAAATATGTTTTCAAGATTTTAAGATGTTATTAATGAGGTGTACTTACAAGTGCACACTCATAAACAAGTATACATAGTTGGTAATCTTACAAAAGATCAAAGGGATTTTAATTGGTTATCTTATTACTATTGTATTGATATACGTGACGACAATCTGTTTCGGTTAATAATAGAAGAAAACTCTGTAAGATTTTATCATTTCGTGGACAATACAGTTTTCAAAAGAATTCTTCAATATATTTACTTGACTTGTCTATTCGTTTATACACACATCCGTAACAAACAAAATTTACCCTAATGTTTTGCGTACAAAATGATAATATAAACTTTCAAGGAAAAAGTATAAACAATGATATTAACGTATTTTAAAACGAAATTATTGTTCACAAAATGCAAACAGGTGTACATAATTAGCTATCTCGTCATCTAATCAATGATCAATGCTCATTTGACAACGTTTATTGTGGAAAGCTAGCCTCAAAATTGTATCGGTTTTTTTTTTGTTTTGTTTTTTTGTTTTTTCACAAGTGCAGTTGTGTTAGACACATAAAGAGATCTGCCTTGTGACGGACGAAACACTTTTTCTCAGGAAGGTTATGCTTGAGCGAAATAAGAGTTATTCTTGTATGTTACCAGTTATTTGTATACATTAGAATGTATTAGTTTTTCCTCAAAATGTCAAGACCATCTAACGGCGATTTTAAGCTTCCAAGTCCTGTTATTTAAGGCCTACAAATAAGATAAATTATAACATTAAGTTGACAAATAATGATTATAAGGCAATTAAATACCAATTAACAAAGATATAAAGTTACAAGAAGGATACATTTATATGATATCAAGTTTATTGCAATTGTGATATAACATATATCACAAAGTGTAGGTTTTACACTTGATCTCTCCTATATAATATTATCATGATTTATGTATATAAGGAGCTATAAAAATCGTTGTTTTCAAACCACTTGTCTCTCACAGCTGTGGGTTCGAACCCCGCCATTGTCTTTGGATTCTCTCATGTAAGGAATCCATCCAGCTAGCTTACGGAACGTCGATGATCTACTAATCTAAAATATTGCACTGAGGGACATTTAAGGTCTTCCTCCACCAGTAAAGCTGGAAAGTCGCCAATTACTTTCGGTGTTATATGTCCAAAATAGTGTTGGTTCGCAAGCATCAATAGAATTACAATAATTGTTGATGGATTGCAGCGGTCGCTGAACAGCGGGAAAAGTTAATGTTTGATATAACTGTTATTTACAATCCCTTTTTTGAGATTTATAATGGCTGCAAAGTCATTATGTTAACACCATTTAGATTATGTTACGATTTAATTATTTGTGAAGCTGTGTCATTATTTGAGTCACAGAACAGTAAGTGTTAAAAAATAGAATGATGAAAATTAGAATGACGTTATACTTAATCAAAACACCTGCATAATTAGGAAGCAGTAAGGTTTACATTATACACTTTTTTCATCTGAATAAAACGAAGAAAGAACTTATCAATGCCTCGAGAAGGAAATGTCATTATCAATTTAGAAACGTGTTGACTAATTTAAAAATGTTCTGAAATTTCATGGTTCTAAAGGTGGACTTTTGACATTTCTATCTGTTAATTCAATGTTTTAAAAGACTTTTTACTGTTATTATACTTTTGTTGGAGGTCTTTAATCGTGTATTCATCAAAAGACAATTGTTCTGGATTTTGAGCGCTATTATGATGAAAAAGTATTATTGGTTTCATAAGTGCAGGTACTTATTTCTATAACTTCCTGAAAATATCTGCAAAAGTGATATAATTACATAAATAAATATATCACTGTTATAAGAATTCAATAAACATTTATCAAATATTCACTGAATGAACACCTTTGTTAATCATTAATATTTCTTTCCTTACAACTACCCTATTCTGTACTATACTATCCTGAAAAGGCCAAAAAAGATTCAAAGAAATTGAAGTTGAAAATTGGACGGTATAAAGGGTGGGAAAGAAATACGGACAGATAAAAATGATATAGTAGGTACCTTGACACACAAAAATAATTTACAAAACCTACAATTTTACCATTCACAAAAATAATACACAATACTTATGTTTAAAACAATCTGAAATTAAAGAAAAACAGATATTTTATGTGTAAATATCAAATAAGCACACAGATAAACACACTGAAAGTTTATAATAGTTCACTTCCGGTTGAGACTGGGAGTCGCACACAACTTTGGATGCAAAGTTCCACTTGTTGATCCTCTATCAGAAATGAATTAGGGACTGCGCAGTAAAATATTACTAGTAAATCGATTCAAATTTTAATAAGGCCTTATTGTTTTTGTTTTTTTTAACTTAACCACTCACGGTTCTGCAGTACGTTTTCTTGGTGGTGTCTGTTGATGTTCAAGCCAACGATGCTGGTAATATACCCGTTTAATCATCTGTTTGCTGCTTTACAAATCATCCAGGACCAGAACCAAACGTTGGGCGCCACTGTCGCCGGCCTACTCAATGGGTAATGATAACGAAAGCACTGGGTTGGTTCGACAGATTCTATTATATTTACATGGTAAATACGCTCCTGTAATGACATATATGACAATAATAAGACACGGAAAATACAAACAATTAACAATACATTTTCAGAGCAATTGAAATACAATACACAAATACATATAAGGCATTAAAGACAAACGTTTACCTGTAGATATACAAATAAATAACTACAAAAAGGATGATAATAGTTATTAAAACATAAAGGGCTGTTTACATTTGTTTTCAAAAATATGGCGGATATCGATTACTCGATAGTGATTGGTTATTGATTTGTTATTGACAGAGAGTAGGTTAATCGAAATAAATACAGTAAAGAACGAAAGTATAAGGAGGTCTGACTACACTTACTATAAGCTACCACTACATTATAAACTATCTACTTTAGTTTGGTGTTCAAATTATACTTTATTATTATGTAATTATGAATGTTTTATATTATTGTTATTAGTGTATGATTGATATTAATGTAGAAACATGTATATAATCATGTAGATAAGGTACTTTTATAAATAGTGTATGTTTAGTTCGTGTAAGTGTGTATATATCATTTAATTACGTGTATAATGCGTTTACCAAATAATTCAACCCTATGACACATGACTACATGTACATGATGTATGTAATACTATTGTAGGATTTTCAAAATGATTTTGAAATACTTTTATTGCAGCCACTACATTTTTACCCTTTTTACTATATCTCTCATAAACACATCCTGGTTAGCATACTGGACCGGTAATCAAGAGACCCAAGGTTCGAGTTTCGGCTGCGGATGCCGATTTTTCGTGACGAAAGTTTTCACTTGTTCGCACGTTTGCGTTGCACAAAATTGCCCGTGTATTTTAGTCACATAAAAAAGACTTTGATATATATTTTTTGCTTTTTTCGTTGCTTCTGGGGAAACTTCCCTTTTCTATATGTTCATATTTTTATATTGATTTTGTTAAGTGACTTATTAAAATGAAATTAAATTATATCGTTTTTACGATGGCTTTAGTCCGTTCTCATTTATTTTCTGTGAAGTTTACATTCGAAGACTTGTATTTCTTAGTCTCATAAAAATGTTGTAACGAGGAAATATATACTAAAAAGAATCAAGAACCAATTTATTCGTAAAAGCTATTTTATGCCGCACCGTTTTAATCCTGAAATGACATTTTTCATAATCTTTAAAATTATAAAAGATGATAACCAAATTACTCCAGCTGACTATCAGTGTATAAAGACCCAGTACTTCAAAAAGCCTAGTAAAATACTTTAAACATTTATCATATTTTTAGACTCCTTTACTTTAAATTCATGAAAATATATATTGAAGGGCAAATCTGGGGAATAGTTCGACACCTTGTGACGACATCTAAATTACCCAAAACGTTACTTGAAACACATGTAAGAAAACGAGTAAATTTTTAAGCTTATTCATATTACGCTGTAGGTGTACATTTAACGATGCACTGTGGTTTTCGCTATAAAAAGGAGATGGTGTATGTAATCGTGATTAAGTTACATTAAAATAATCTCACAGCTCGGAGGTATTAAAGTTGTTTGCAGAAAACTGAGTATTATTTTTATTATTGAAATGCAAATTGTGATGTGATAATTATGAAAATACTTTTTAAAAGAAAAAAATTTGAAACAAGATATTTCAAGATTGTAAAGCAAGTGCGTGTATTTGTTTATACTTTATTTAAAATTTAATTGTTAATTATTATGTAGTACTTTTCAAGATAAAAGAGTTATGATCATAAATCCTCTTTAACGTTGATTAACAGTTAAACATTTTTTCGGTGCATTTCATTTCTATGTGGATAAAGGACTAAGAGAGTTATGTGTAACGCAAGCGTACGAACAACTTGAAAGTTCTAGAGTCTGATTTTCGTTTTACTTTGGAAATTACTCGTGTTGTCATTTACTAGATCATGATGACTGCGGATAATGTAAAGGTCACTGTGTTTGTTATTCTAGGACTTGTTATAGGTGAAACATTTGCATTATATTTAGCGAAGACAAGGTCAAATAGTTTAGGTACCATTTTACATGAGACAAAGCTTAAAAGTCGAAACAAAAGAGACATTCGTTCAGATTATCCGTGAGTTTTATTTCTATCTTATTTTTTTTATCTTTTCTTTTTTTAGTATGGCTTTGTTTGTAGAAATAACTTAATAATTAAGTTTCAACTTTTTACTTGGTACCCCTTTAAATATTAAAAAAAATGATATATGACTGCACAAATAATTGACAAAAATGAAAAGTAAATTAAACACGAGTATTGTCTGTATTTTACGAAAGGTTGATTTAATTTGATACATTTATTGTCTTCATACATTAAAATGATTAATTACTAAAAAAAAAAGATGTAGTCCAATATTTAAGCATATGTATTTTTTTCAGGTCTGTTCACCATTATGCCAGACATGCACTGTGTCGAACATTCAAGGGTAAACAATATTTATACAAAGCAATGAAGAAAAAGCTATGTGGAATGACATGTAAGAACCTTTTATCAAATAATATGATTTACCATTTTCTGACTTCTACTGAATTTTTTCAGGTGTATTGCTTAATTAGTTAATATTCTTTTCGAATAAGAGAGGTTTAAAGTGCTATTGTTTTTATTTATAATTTAGATATCCATTGATTGGTTATTTAACGTTTGACGATTTTTAGGTTACTTCAAAATTTTACAAACTTTCTAACTGATAAACGAGGGCACTATTTTCATAAAGACTCATGATAGTAATTTATACTTAAAAGTAAATCTTAAGTTTGAAATACAAAATCCTTTTATCTTTGCAATATGGAATGAGCAATAATCCTACTGTTGACATAGATTTACTGTTAGATGAATGTTTGAAAATTTACAGTTTTCTAAAGGTCAATAATTTATATGTCTCATGGACTTAGTTTTACCTAACTTCACCAATGAATTTACCTTTAAAATAATCTATTGATTTAAAAATATTCGGTAACATAGTCGATTTTTTATTTCAGTGTCCTTCATAGCAAGTTTGGTGATTGATCTTTGTCGTCATAGAAACGCGATGCTAGATACCTGGGTAGCCGGACTGTTTGATGTTGATGGTAAAATTTGCTTCTATAATTATTTTATCTTACCATTTGAAATAAGTATATTTTCATTCAATGTATCGAAGAATAACATTGTGTTTATAAAGTTTTCATACAATATCAAATGCGCAAATAATTGTAGTGTAAATTATACTAGTTATAAATAAATTAACAACATCAATTATGTCCAATCACAGGAGTTTTACTAATCTGCTAGAAAATGGAACTCCCATTTGACATTTTAAAGTATATTGGTCTATGATGGAAGGTCTGTGAAACTCTATATATAATTATGTAAATAGTATTTAGTATCAGACATAACAGCAAACCTTGAAATAATTATTATATACATGTAGTTGTTGTTGGCAAGTGTGAAAAACATAATCCCATATTACATATTATTATATAGCAGATAATAACATGTTTAAGAATACAATATAATTATTTGTTATATTAATGTTCAAACTAAATCACTTTCTAAACATTGTTTTAAGAAATATTTTATAAAACTATCAAATTGATAAATTTTGTTTTTTTCTCAATATTTGAAATATTTATGGAAAATATGCTCATTGTAAACCAGTCCACTTGAATTATCAATATATATTAGAAGCCTGAAATGATTCTCTCTGTATTTTAATGGCTTTAGTACAGCATTGTTAATTTCTGTCGACCCAAGACAAAGGATACATAATATATATCATTACTATCAATGAAAGTTGTATCCCACTTTGATAAAAAAATGCACTGTGTAGGTGACATTATTGAAAGCGAAAACAAAAGATGATCAGTCAAAACAAATGTTGGTGATGCGCGTTATTTTAAATCCTCAATTTATCCACTTATTTGAATATGAGAATAACGAATGTGATTAATGACACAATTAAAAACTCATTTTGATAAGAAGATTTATTTGATGATAAAAATGTATTTGTTCTTGTTATTTGATATGCATTATTATTCTACACTCCCAAAATGTGTTACTATTTTTTAAGGTGAGACAGTTTTATTATGCTCCCTGAAAAATTTCGGGGGAGCATATAGTCGGCGCCATGTCCGTCTGTCCGTCTGTCCGTCCGTCCGTCTGTCCGTCTGTCCGTCCGTTGTCTTGTCCGGAGCATAACTTTAAAACCCTTGGAGATAATTTGTTGAAACTTCATACACTGGTAGAGGGCATCGAGGGGGAGTGCAGTGTCAAAGAACCATAACTCTATTTTGCCCGGTTTTTGAATTATCTCCCCTTATAGAAAAATCTTGTCCGGGGCATAACTCTAAAACTTTAAGAGATATCAACATGAAACTTTGTAGGTGAATAGATCTCAATGGGTAGATGTGCAGTGCATAAGAACAATAACTCTTTTTGTCCTAATTTTGGAGTTATTGCCCTTTGTTAATTTTAATACTTTGAACTTTGTCCGGAACATAACTTGAAAACCCTTGGAGATAATTTGTTGAAACTTCATACAGTGGTAGAGGGCATCGAGGGGGAGTGCAGTGTCAAAGAACCATAACTCTATTTTGCCCGGTTTTTGAATTATCTCCCCTTATAGAAAAATCTTGTCCGGGGCATAACTCTAAAACTTTAAGAGATATCAACATGAAACTTTGTAGGTGAATAGATCTCAATGGATAGATGTGCAGTGCATAAGAACAATAACTCTTTTTGTCCTAATTTTGGAGTTATTGCCCTTTGTTAATTTTAATACTTTGAACTTTGTCCTGAACATAACTTGAAAACCCTTGGAGATAATTTGTTGAAACTTCATACAGTGGTAGAGGGCATCGAGGGGGAGTGCAGTGTCAAAGAACCATAACTCTATTTTGACGGGTTTTTGAATTATTTCCCCTTATAGAAAATTCTTGTCCGGGGCATAACTTTAAAACTATAAGAGATATCAACATGAAACTTTGTAGGTGAATAGATCTCAATGGGTAGATGTGCAGTGCATAAGAACCATAACTCTCTTAAGCCTCATTTTTGAAAAATCTCCCCTTTTAGAAAAATCTTGTCAACTCTGCCTTGCCTAATTTTGGAATTATTGCACTTTGAACTTTCTCCAGGGACATAACTCTTAAACTACAAGAGGTGAACTTTCCTGTGTCCAAAACCCATTCGGGGAGCATCACCCGGCTCAAACCGGGCTCTTGTTTTCTAAAGTATTTAACGTATTTGATATCACTTAATCAGACTTATAAAAGCAAGTGTGGAGATTTGAGAAAATCTGTGATAACCTATGATAGCTAAAGTTTTAAAGGCCAATTATGTTCCAGAACTGCTTTGACTTTTATTTCACAAAATCGCACCTTTTTTTCTTTTTCTTTTTTTGGTGTCCTATTATAGGTTATAAAATGTTTCTCACTGGCCAATGGACAAAACTATCTATTGCTTCTGTTGCTTAAAATATGCCCTTATGTATAGCACATATCCTAAAATATAATACTAAGCTTGTCACCTGTATTAGTAAGTAAATAAAAACTATGCTGTTTTTTTCTTTACAGGTGACGGGCAGATAAGTCATTTTGAGCGAAATTTGTATGAAGATACTTACAGCTGAATTGGAAAGTGAAACCGCAAATTCATTAGGATGTCTTGTGCAGTAGTGAAAATCGCAAAGTCCTAGGATATAAGCCAGATGCCATTGATCGTATTTTACGCAAAGGGAAATGTTTCTGAATGCAGTAATTCAAACCAAGTTTCCTAAGATTAACGGCATCGACAGCATTATTTGCATAACATTCTTAATGTTGTTATGCATTCTTAATGTTATTAAGAAATTTCTCTTTTGTATGATATACGTTTTGAATAACTCATTATCGTACTAAATGTTCATTACAATGATATTTGAAAGATTCATTTGAAATGTTATGGTGCAATCTATGATTGTGATATAAAAAGCAATAGTCATTTCATCATTTTATTTATTTCATGAAAAATCATTTTTATTTATTTGTAAATATTGATATGTCAGTTGTTTGACATGACAGTTCATCATTGTATAACTATAAATCTACCTCTGTGATGCAGTATTATATTATAATGATTTACATTCCGTCCAATTATGTTATATTTTGTAATAAAAAATAAATACATAAATATCAAAAATGCTGCTTTTTTATTTTTGTTATTTTCTGTTGTTTTTTGCGTGTGATAGTTGTTTAGCAACAGTAATTCGTTTAGAACAATGATTAGGATCACAAGAAAACATTGATGATGCATACAAGTCTCTGCGTTCTTTGATTAATGGTGAGATGAATGTTAAATTACCATGTATAAAGGTATAATCTACAAGCTGTGTAAACTATAAGAAAAGAAAAGTGTATAAAATAGTGACAATAAGAATCCCAAAAGAAAGTCCAAAATAAAAAAATTGAAATTGTTCAGGCTCGGTTTGATTGAGTCTGTTTATGGACCGTACTGTCTGCAAACTACCGTTCCCATCCCCTAGCACAGGCTTAAGCAGAATTCAACATTTAAACATGAAAATGATGCAACTTTGAATTTAGTAACATCCGCAGATGAGTTTATACGGCAGTTATTATAATATCTTCAATGCGACAATTTCGTGCCATTCCATGAAAAGCGGCGTATGTTACCCTTAACGAGAATACAATGGGCTGACTAAAACAAATGAACTTTTGAAAGGGGATCAGAGGCTATGAAGCGTGCATATCACAAATAAGACGTCAAAATACAAATTTGAAAAACATTCTACAAAATTTGCTAGGAAGGACACTGAATTACACAAGTGTATAATCGGCTGTTACTTTTGTTTTGACCTCACGTAAAATTGTACTCTGTCTAAACTAAAATTGTACTCAATTGTCTTAAATAAGTATAATAAAATGTTTCGCTTAAATAAACTACTACGACTAGAATAGAAATACCATGAAGTTCACATTATCTAAAGCCATTTTATCATGTTCTAGTAAATGACCCTGGAACACCAATATATTAAGGCCATTTTGTAGGAATGATCACAAACATGACATGGCATTTGAAAGCAAATAGTACTTTTATCATTTATCAATTAGCGCTCATTTCTTTTAGTTATTGTCAGTTAAGAAACATAATAGATATTTTTGTATAAGTTGTTTTGATCCATAAAATGGTGACACCCTTTTAATATTAAAAAAGAAAGCATCATGAGCAGAAGTAAATGATGAACTTGAAAATAATGAATATTTCACGACAATGCTACCCCTTTTTGATCTATGCTTTTATAATAGACGTTGTCATTTGCTTTTAAATTATCTTTGATTTATTGTATTACTAAACTTTGTACTGGTTTTTATGTATGATTCATTCCTACCAAATGAAACTAATGACACAAGGTACAAAATAGCTGTTTAAGTAATATATTAAGCCATTCTACTAATTCAAACTTACGGTTGTGTGACTCAAACTGTGATACATATTTACGAATAATTAAGTCGTAATATAATCATAGCGAGTGTAAAATGTTTTTCTAGCCTTAGGGAATTCTGGATTCAATACAAAAAAAAATCCAGAAATGATTAGAAAAAAGCACTGTCATTCATCAATTATGCTTATGCTATCAAGTAATGAGATAAATAATTATAATAAGTGAAATATTTTAAAAGAAATATCTCCGTTTATTAGGTTAACAAAACATATAAAATCAAGTTAATAACATCATACTATAAATAACAAATAATAATACATGTATATGAATAATATATAAACTAAACAACAATAAATGACAATTTAATGTCAACTTATATCATGCTTCTTAGTATCTTTTTAAAAAAATATATGGTTGAAATCTACAGTTCTATACATGGCATTTTAAAGGACAAATGGTTTATGATTTCAAGTTTATATGACATGTAGTTACCTATCGAAGGACAAAGAAGAACAATCAGAATTAGTTAAAACGTTAACATTCTTTAGAGAAGCAGAAGCATTTCCTGAAGTTAATTGCATTTTGTATTGTACAGATAATTACAACAGATAAACTCAAAGATAATGATAAACAGTAACAGTTATGAATTTATAGCAAACCATTTCGCTGTAATTGTTATAAGGTACGTGTAAATAACATTTATGACCAAAACGATTATACCAGAGACTTATATTGCATAAATATAGCTCTGTGATAATACATATATAAATGAATAAGTAACTTTTTATTTGCTTAGTTTGTATCAATTCAGTTCAGCATTTTATTAAAAGAAATATGGCCGTACAATACAATACAATTATATACATATTGCTTTCCTCGTGTTAATACTGATACAAATTTGTGGTCATCTAACAAAATACCAATTGGTGTGACAAAACAATTGAAATAATCATTGATCATTTATCAGATAACTTGCCACATACACCTGTTTGTGGTAAGTATCACGTCACATTGGAAAATTTTTAACATGAAAAAAACTTTTGTTTTTGTTTATAATTACACGTCAAATACACAAAGTTTACGCTTAAAAGACAACTGTTTAAGAAACTACAAAAAACTTTACAGTGCTCTGGTGTGTATATTGCAAATGCAGTAAACTGATTTGATTAAAATGATTACCAATGTTTAATTTTACCCATGAAGTCATCGTTTTACATCGTATGTTTGAAAATTCATTGCAAAGCTGTTAAGACTGATCGGACTTTTGGAATTTTCTCAATAACGACAATATTATACAATTATTGACTAGTGTGCCATTGAATATGATGTGATATTCACCGGCAGATGACATACTGACCGAGGCGATAGCCGCGGTCAGTATGACTTTCTGCGGATGAATATCACATTATATTTAATAGAACACTAGTCAATAATTGCTTTATTATATGAATAGGCTATACAAATTTTAAAAAAAATTACAGAACGTACAACCTTATACATGTACAACTTTTGTCTGTTTCGTTGAAGCGCGGGAAAAAGACGCACGTGGAAGGCGTGCAACAACTACGCGAATGCTGTCCATACAAAAGTAATTCAAGTTTATACTCATCATTGCGGTGTATCTTTTAACTAAAATAGTAAAGTAATGATATTTTAATCGAGAAATATACCATAAAGAACAAAACGTTACAATTATTTATTCAATAATCACACATAATTAACAGTCTACGATATATGGTCATTAAATATGAGTCTCGATCTATTTGTAGACTGGGAAAATCCAATTTAGCCAGTGAATATGATACTACACCTAGTGAATATGATTCTTTAAAAAGTTCCATTGACTGCTGTTTTGTCCAATGAGACCGCAGTAATATTTAGATCATATAATAATAACTATTATACAAACGCTCGGCTAAAATAAGACAAAGATAAAGAAATTAATATTTTAAAGCAGCTTACCAGATTCATGCTTATTTTCATTTCATTTTTGAAAAAAAGTATTTTAAAGTAATTTATTGTGCAGTGAACAAAGAAAGTAATTTACACAATGCAAACGGCATGTACATTGAACGTTAATTACCAAAAGAAGATCAAAATATAATTACATTGTCACGCAGAAGCAACATAATAATAAATATTTCAAAATCAGTCATTGATCGCTTATAACATGTAAATTATTGCTTGAATCTTCAAACTTTTTACTTCTGTTAAAATCTTAGTACATTTTTTCTCAAGATTGATTTCTTTGATACATTATGGCTCATCTGAAGGCATGCAGCTTTATACTGTCTAAAAGTTAAAGTCACATCTGAAAATTTATACAATCATGTTGTGATGTAATTTACATAATATTTAATATACTATACATCATCTTTCCTCTTCTTACATTACAGAATATCAATGTTTTCACAATTGTACATGTTAACGTTCAACAAACGCTAACATTGCAATACATTTACTTTAAGATATGACCATTAATAATAATTTGTATTACAGCATTCAAACAAACTCTTGTGAAAAAGGGATATTGTTACACTCGGCAGTTTGTCCTGACATAACAAGGAGTGATAAGAAACATTCTTCTCCTTATCATAAATACTCGGTGAATCATTTTTAAAAGTGAATAATTTATATGTAGCGGGACGACATTGTAAATTAGCCATTCATATCATGGTAGATAACATATAATGTCATACTGGCCAGTGGCCAGTCAGATAAGTAACAACTTACAAATACCTTATTCATCCGATGAAGGGGAAATGAACAACTTTGTTCTTACTCATAACAAATCATACATTAAATAAAAATGCAGTTTAAGTTTTAACGTTTTTATTTGGATATAAAATAATGCAGTTATTTTATTTTCTTACTCTTATTTTCTTGATAAAGGATGTTTTATATATGGAGATAAACAGTTACTGATTTTTATCGAATAACATATTTTGAACATTTTCTTATTTAGAACTAAGCGTGTTATCTTGAATTGTGCATGCGCGTGTCTGTGCTTGTTAAGTTTGCGTTACACTTAAGCGCTTCAATGTTGCGGCATGACCAAGAGGTAAACGCGTCGGACTAGTAATCTAAGGATTTCTAGCAGTGTGGGTTTAAATTCCGCTAGGGTCAAACGGTTGTTTCCTTAAGCAATAAACTTTGCACTAATTGCTTAGTACTGGTTGGTTCCAGGAACAGATTCGAGAGTGTTTTAATAAGCTTGTAGCTTTCAACACAATCGAACTAAAGTAAGTATATATTCGTATAAACAAATGTAAGATTTTAATGACATAAAGCTAGTATTTTGATATATATGCTTGTTCAAACAATATAAAGAATGATTAATTGTACCACAATACTAAACATCTTTTCTCGTCGAATGCCTATTTATAACTCTCAAATCAACACACTGCGCTCGATGTTGATCTTTTATCCGGATAACTTACACAATTTATCATGATTAATGACCTTATGTAAATTTTGCTCGATAAGCGACAATGAATTTATTTGAAACTATGACACCTATTTAGATTGAACGTGACAAAAATGCAATTATTTTTTGTACAATTCAAACTGCTATCTATTTATTGGCTGGGTGACATATAAAAAGGAAATGAGCAATGCATGTGTTTTTTTCTTTTTATTTTGGCATTTATATTTTTCATTTGTACTCATTGTGTGCAGGTGA